GTGTTTGGGTGTGGACGCCGATACGCCGACGTGGACTAAGTGAAAAGCTTCTGCGACGGTACTTCGGACCGTACAAAGTGGTTCGACGTCTCGGCCCACTTGATTACGAGGTTGTCCCCGACGGCATCACGAACTCTCAACGACGCCGATCGCGACCTGAAGTCGTCCATGTCGCGCGCCTCAAGCCGTTTCATGCACGTTAACAAACTGAAACAGTGTTTTTGTATTATTGTTGTATTGTAATTTATTCATTGTACTTTCTTGCATTATTATTGTACCTTCATATTTAGTTAAAGCATCGGGACGATGCCTTTTTTCAGAGGGGGGCAATGCCACGTTCCATTCCACAAGTTTTTGATATCGTTCCGAAACACCACACGATTCTCGGCGCAAACCGCGCCTGCAGGTTTCGAGAAGGTTCCGGACAGTAGTAGACCATTTTGATAAGATCACGCCCACTGTGCGAACGGTACAGATTGTTCTGGAATCTACGCCACCGCCAGCGATAACGCTAGAACATTCGACGGCAAGGGTATAAATGCCGACGCGCTTCGCCGCTTGCGAGTTGTTGATCGAAGGCCGACGCTGCGTTCGCCGCTATCAGTCCGAGACTGCTATCTGTGCAAGACTGCTGCTGTAATTAGACTTTCCCTTTACCAGGCACAGGTTCGCCCAAATAAACAGTTAAATCCCAACACGAAGTTTTCTGTCTTTGGCCACGTCACGACCCCGTGACAATATTTCATGCTGTTTTCATTACTACTACGATCTATCACACGTTCTGGCCAGTCGTAGGTCCCTTTAGGGCCAGAATTTCAGGTGCTCAAAGCTTTGAATTTCCTGTTTCCTGGATTTTTTGCTGCTTTGTAGGTGGCTGGATCTTGCAAGAGTTGGTGGATTATATGCACATGCGCATCACTGTCGATTAATGCTTTTACGGACGATCCTGTAGGTACACATGATAATCGGCCTAGCAAATACACAGTTGGTATTGAGCGCTGTGTGTGGGGCGTGCTCTTGAGTAGTGTGACTGTGAGCATGTTTCAAGTTTCAACAGGGAATACTAAGTCGCACTAAGTACCAACAATTACTCACTACCCCAACAAGTAGTTTTTAATCACATACTCCTGACCAGGGAATAATGGACATGCCACCATAACTGTGCACTTTGGTGAACTGTGCGCCAGACTGTGTACATGTTAAAACTTTAGAAAGTGGCGGCAGCCCGTTCTTGCACACGTTCTTGCACACGCTAGCCACAGAAAGCTGATGTTACATTTCAGTTGAAGACCAGCCCCCAGAGCAAAACCTTGATGCAGAGAGAAAAAAAAAACTCGCTAAAAGTGTAGATTCACGTACAAAACAAGCTGATAACGACGAGCAAAGAAAAAATGAACGCAGAAAACAATGGAGACAGCACAAAGTTAATCTTGTCCTTTGTTGTGCATACCGTTCCACGTGGGTTCAATACATTTACAATCACATAGTACCAACTAATGAAAGTACACTCAACAAAGGCCACTTTGACCCACTATACTTCGAGAACCAAGCAAATGAGGACACAATAATTTGCACTGAAGCCATATTTACACTCACATGTCTTCTCCATACGTAAAAAACCTGACCAGTTAATTTTATTTCTGAAAAGTTTTTCTCTCATATTTTTTAATTATTACTGCACTGCCTCTATGGAAATCTTTAGCAAATATGTGAGGATTTCTTTTACTTAGCACTTAGCACTTTTTACTTAGCACTTACACTTAGCAGTTTCTGTTGGAAATAAATGCTGGGGTTTAACATCCCAAAAGCATGTTATGAATATGCGAGACACCGTAGTGGAAGACTCCATACATTTCGACCACCTGGGGGTTCTTTAAAGGGAAGGGACACTGAAGTGCAAAAAGAGTTTTCACATATTAATGAAGTACAATTTCACAATCCCAAAAACACCACTCTTACCGCGGCACCATGCTCGATAAGCAAGAAAGTTTCCTGAGTGACTGAATCATAATTGGCAGATGTTTAAATAGGGTAGAGATACTGTTCCAAATTTTAGCAGCAACAAAAGGTATTGCTCAACAGCCGTAGACATTGTGTGCTATTGGCAGATTAAGATTTTGTTGTTTGGCCGGCCGAGTGTGACTTCTGGGTTTTAATAAAATTGATGCGTGAAAGGGTACATTCTTGTTGATTATTTTGTGTACTAATACTGAGATTTTGAATTGCCTAACCATATTAAAAGGCATTTTGTTGAGATTTCCGAAAAGTTCAGCCGATTGTGCATTCTTGGGCGCTGACAATTGTTCGTACAGCTATTTTTTGTAAGATGGTTATGACTGAGCAATATGAGGCATATGTGTAGCTCCATAATTCAATGCAATAAGTCAGGTGAGAGTAGAACACGTTGAAGTATAAAATACAGAGTATGTGTATGCTAAAATATTTTCTAGCCTTAAATATTGTAAAGCCTCCAAAGCTTACTTTTCTGCACAAATTGTCTATATGCGATGTCCAGTGAAATGAATGGTCCAATGTCACACCAAAGTAACTATATGCGTTCACTTTATCAATGGCAGTTTCCCTGATGAATAGGCCATGTGCTTGAAGTATTACTTTTCGGTTAGAAGCGAGAACTATGTCCTTGGTTTTTTTTTTATTTAGTAGTAAGTTACTTTGTTCAAACTACTGAGAAGCCATTTGCAACTCTTCATCAGCTAGTGATTCGGCTTCCTGAAGAGAGTGCCATACTATGAGTAAAGCAGTGTCATCTGCATACAGAGCTGCTTGCATATGGGTTAAGGAAAGAGGATAATCATTAATGAAGACGGAGAACAAAATCGGTCCAAGTACTGAACCTTGCGGCACACCAGTTTTGACGAGTTTCCTGTAAATAAACTGACAATCAATCAAAAGTACGAGTTCACTGTCATGTGCGACTACTCACGGGTAGTAAGCCAGAGTAATTCATGTAAATTATCACCAGGTAGCCCATGTCATCGTAACTGAGTGCTATGATGAGCATTATTACGTACACTTGTGAATTGCCAGATCAACGCTCCCCTGTTACAGATGCTAGTCGAAGATGTTTAAATTCACAGTACATCATACAGGGTTGAGACGACTGAGACTGAATTAGGAGCAGTTTTTGGCGCAGACGAACCTTGCTTCGGAGCAGTTAGCAGCATTGAATATGTCATGCTAGGAGCTTGAAAAAACAAATGTTTAACAACGTGGGGCACAACTGCGTATTTTAATTGACTTATAATACGCACAACACTTTAGCAGACTTAAAGAAAGTTTTCAAGAGATTATCACTGGATATGAACTGCACTACCTTTTTACATACGTGACCTAGCCTTTGTAAGAAACATGTGAAATAAATTTTAAAAGAAAGCTTTGAAATTTAGGTTCACTGGAAACATTTAAAAAGAAAAAAAAAACACATCCCACTCATAAATAATTTAAAAAGTTGCAATTGATAGTTATGTATTGCAAGTTACGTAACAATATAGCTTCCCACCCCCCCAAAGTGTACTGCAAGCTTTAAACACAACAATAGCTCGCTGCACCGCCATTTGCGACCACCTTGTGCGTGACCACTTTCAAGAGTACGGCGCGGCAGCCAAAGAACCTCGCCGCACCGACTATCTTGTAAAGCCCATGCGTATGACACTAAGTGATAAACAAATGGTACTCATTAAGGCCTCTCGATGCACGCAACCACGTGTTATTAATACTACCCACATTGGCCTGTTCTATTTTCTTTATTATTGTAGGCCATCACCCTTGTTGTAGAACTCCCGATATTCATAGTCTCACGATTGCCAGCCGCACTGCTCCGCGATTCGTGTAAAGCGCTCGCAGTGCGTTTCGCAAATAAGCAATGTGCACACGCTAACAAACCACTGCAAGTACAAAGGCCGCTTTTGTAGCAAAAAAAAAAAAAAAAAAAGGATGTGTGCCACTCAAACTGCAGAATGGTCGCCGATCGTAAAGCTAGTGTAGCCCAGAACCGGCACGCGAACAGAGCAGTGGCATATCGCCGTTTTTGAAAACTATGCTGTGTGATCGCCGATGCGTCACGAGTCACAAATAAAGCACCAAGTGCGCATTAATATCTTTATAACAGGTTTTAGCACGTGTTCTGCCCCTGCTGGGATTCACGAATAACCAAGTGGGCCTCTCACTAGCTGCAGACACTGATGTGCGGACTTAGTGTGATGGCTTCTTTAAATTCAAAATGAAATACAAACTCACGTGTCTAAATAAATCAGTTGTTAGTGGCGGTAAACCGGGAGCGAGTTGCACGCATTCTGTCACTCATGAAACCCAGTTTGAGAACCCATGCACCAGAGCAACCAGATGACCCGTCGCATGCAGGGGGATGACTTTATGATTACGCGACAAAAAACACTCTCATGGCAAACAGCGTCCACATGAAAACCGCAGCGACCAGAGGAACGCACTATGCACAACAAAGAACCTGAGAATCAACTGCACTATGCATGCGTACTCAGTGGTTGTCACTATGCGACAATGGCGCCAGAACGCAAAGCCTAGCTAGTAAAACCAGCACGCTCGATGCACGGCTACACATTTTTGCAGCGTCACGCATGTTTACAACAGATTCTGAGGAGATTATGGTGGCACCAGAAAGGTGCGAAGTAAAAAAAAAACTAAGCTTGGGTGCACCTTATTTATTGGTATTCGTGGCGCTGCTCGAAAAATAATGTGGTCAACTAGGCCTTTTTTTCCCGAGTGAAGCCTACTCCAAAGGCATGAAATTAGCCAAAATTGTGCCATACAGCTCTAAAACAGCTTCAATTACAAGAATTTCGATGCCAGTAAATAAAAATGTATCACAAATCCATAATATGCGAAGCTATGTCACCCCTGATCATAAAATGTAAGAAGTTTAGTCTTCCTCTACACAGCACAATTGTGGAATGATTAACATGCACAATCAAGAGAGCACAGAATACACGATGTCCATGACTTACCTCGAATGAGTATTCTTGGACCAGTGTTATGTCCCTTTCATCCAGAAGGGTATACTTTATCTGCAAAATAACATCAAGTCAGCAGAATTGGACAAAGTTCAACAAACGGTGCTCTGAAAGTGCACCACTTGATGCTACTAAAGAAAACAGAATTGGAGCAATATCAGGAGCAGCAAAAGTTCGCACTTTGGAGCACATTGCACCTGAAACACCCTGGTGTAGGACATTTCACATTATATTGTACTCGGGAGAAGCAAGTTGAGTTTACATTCAGCCAATTCTTATGGGGCTTTTATGAAGAACCACACATTGATTCGTTGCAAATCTCATGGAGAAAATGCTCTGTGGAGCACACATTGTTTCACTAGAATAAGCACACTCACATGCAGTTGGATTTGACAAAATAACACTAATGCAGGGTATCCATGTTCACATTTCGAAATTCACCGAGTGGAACTTTTGTCAAGACTGGCTGCCTCCATGTCACAAAATAACGTCACTCTCTCTCTCGCGCGCGCGCGTGTGTGCGTGCATGTGTGCGTGCACGCGCGTGTACGTGCACACGCGTATGCGCGCGTGCGTGTGTACGTGCGCGTGTGTGTATGCGTGCGTGTGTGTATAATTTCAGTTAACTTTATTAACTGAAATTAGTTTTTTCACAATTTGAAATTCATCACACGATTTGGAAAATCTAGGCTCTTGCGAATAGTGAATTTTAGGTTCTAAATGAATTCAATGCGAATAGGTATTTTAGTCGAATAATTTCAAACGAAAAGAAAGAAGACAGAAACTTATCTGTGCATGTCCATGCTTATGTGAACATCTGGCACACATGGGGGTCTATGTGAAGGATAAACCTACAATTGTTAGTAGGCATTTCTGGTGTCTCAACTGCCTTCTTGTGTCTGCGTTTGCACGCCCCGTCTTTCTAGAATGAATACGTACAGTGTTCACGCTTGTTGACATGACAAAAATTCAAGGGTTTTCAAGGACTTTCAAGGCTATATGTGTGAATTTTCAAGGACCATATTGTCTGTTAAAAACCAAATCAAAACATGTTCAGAAGAGGGTAAAGGCTTGAAATAACTCGAACTCACCGAAAAAGGGTAACATCCCCAGAGCACACGTCAAAACATGGCTTGAATGACATTTCCTTTATAAACAACTTTCAATAATACTTTCTTAAAGCTGCATAGGTAATTACTTCCAGTAAGACACTAGTTGGAAACGTTTATTCAGATAGAAAAAATAAAGAACAATTTTGATGCAATGCCTTATTGCCTTTTCTAAATTTTCATATCAATATTCACTATCTCCTGCTGCTAGGTCTTGGCAGTTTTCCTAGGGCTGTTTCACTAGATTCACATCACATCGCTGATTGTCTGGTTTTTCAGCATAAGAGTCTGCTGTAGCTGCTAATACTGTAAATGGGTACTGACACAAAAACTTTATCCTTGCATTTTTTTGCTTTAATGTGTTACTGGGGGCATGGTAGTCATAACATAATACATCATTTGCTGCAGCACACGACAGATAATTATTGCAGGCTCCTCACTATGGACCAGTCTCAGTTTTGGTTTGAGAGAGCTCCACAAATGACAAGCCGTCGGGTACAACTATCACCACCTAGCGTGTGTAGCTCTTGACAACGCCAGCACATAGAGCTGTGACACACTTCCATACAGTCCACATCGAGAAGTCCTCTCACATAGGAAACAGCCCACGGGAATGAAATGTCATCAAACACAAAACTTTCCCTACGGCCACCCACTCTCAGCCAGCCACCGAGTATAGACTAATTAATAATTATTGGGGTTAAAACCACCGCATGATTATAACAGACGCCGTAGTGGAGGGCTCCGGAGATTTCGGCTACCTGGAGTTTTTTTAACGTGCCCCTAAATCTAACCACAACCCAAGTATAGACTAATGGAACAAACAGGGCAAAAGAAAAATGGCAGCTATAACCCGTTTTACTGACTGCAGAATGGCAACGTGACGGGAAGTAAGGGGGTCCAAGAGATGCGGCCCCTCTTGATATTGTCAATACCTTTGAAGCTATATTTCCTGTTAATTTTATGCTGCTGCGAAATTTTGTGTGAGTACCCCTTTAACAGCGGCTTCTAGTTCTTCCTTTTTTGTGTTTCAACCTCCTCCTCAATGCAACAGTTGTTTTGCTGTTTCTCATACTCCTCAGTTTACAGAAATGCATGGTGTTGGTTCCATGCAGAAGCTACTTATGTTCTCAAACCTTTTGTGGTGGGCTTATTACATATGCCACCTACTACATTTACAGCATTACAAATAACGCACAGTGAAATAAGCAACCATGTTCATAAATAAAAGATTTTCAAGGCTTTACCAAAATTCAAGCACTTTCAAGGCCTTGAAAATGTACTTTTACAAATGCAAGGGTTTTCAAGAATTTTAAGGACCCACATGAACCCTGCAGGTACCAACTACTTCTGCTATCTCTTATTCTTTGCCTAAAAAATGATGAAATAATACTTAAATTGTCCCTTAAAAACAACAGGAAATGGAATGACACGAAGGCGATTAAACTTGAGTCGCCGTGCGCAGTTCTAACACCGGGAGAAATTTCACAGACACCCATGCGCTTAGATTTGGGTTCATATAAAAGAATCCGGATGATCAAAATTAATCCAAACAGCGTGCGTCACACTTACGCCCTATAATTTCAGGCAAAATGCCAACTTTTCTTCTTTTCTTTTAAGTTGCTCGAGTGCTTTTGTGACATTATAGGCCAGTGCCGTACACGTTTTTCTAAAACAGGAATAAAAACTCATTCTCAGTCCTCCTCCTTTCCAAATGTTGAAAGAACTTTCCATTACAATATCCAATAATGCAGAAGAAATGCCTTATTCACACTTCGAGAATTGGGACAAGTAGGTACATTGACGTTACATTTTATTTTTAATAAAAATATGATGTCAGATAATCTAGAAGCAAAATAGCAAAACAAAGTTATAAATTAAAGCTCCTAACAAGCTACACGTATACGAATTGGACATCACTGGCAAAAGGCTAAATGCAGATAAGTGTTGATTCTATCGTGAGCACTGGCAGACCACCAGATGAGGAAGTGCCAGCAAGCATGAGAGTAGTAGCAGAGTCTTAATAGCCTCAGTCATTATTGATAAAAGCATCTTTTAACTACCTCGACAGCATTCGAGTTCTTCCACTGCTGCTCCAAGCCATATCCCACACACATTTTGGTGCCGAAATCCGGGATTAACCAACCGACGGCTATGAGTGGCCTGGAAGACAAGCTCAAGGCGCAGCGGATTTCACGAAGATCCCTGAACAGCCAGATCATCAATGAGACAAGTGCCCTACATAGCAGCGACTCCGCAACGCATGAACAGCTCGGTTCCATCAACAAAAGGGTAAAATCGAACAACAAGTTAAAGAAGATTAACATGAAATTAGAGTCATCTTGGATGAGGACTTACAAGCCCAATATGACACTGTCTTAGGGTACGAGAACAATGAGATGTGAATTTTTGCAGAGCTCCTAAGCAGGCAGAACTGCATTTCAAGCGCGCAAGCAAAAGAAGAATCCGTTATGGTTACCAGTACAATTGGAACACCATTAGACAGGATGGGAGCCAAGCTACCTAAACTCACAAATGCACCATTCTCTGGGGATGTGTGTAAATTGATAGAGTTCTGGAAGCAGTTTGGCCAGATTGTCAACAACAACGCCACTCTGACCACAACAGAAAAATTCTATAACTTGAGACAGTTCTTGGAAGGAGATGCTGCTTCAGCAGTAACTGGTCTTCCAGTGACTGAAGCATGTTATAAGGATACTGTACTACAGAAACGCTTCGGTGTTAAGATGCGCCAGGAATGAAAATACTTTGCAAGAATGCATCAGCTGATTCCTGTTTGAGCATTCGGTGACACGAGAGCTTTCTGACAACTCTATGACATGTGCTCGTGAACACCCGAGGGCTAGAGTCACTCGGTGTACAGCAACCTTCACTTTTGTCGATGCTGTGCGACATCGTAATGAGGGCTCTACCACGAGACATCGTAGTTCTCTACCACCATAACTGTGCCCCACAAGGTGCTACGGACCATACTACTGCTTCTTCGGGGCTTGACGATCTACTGAAGCTCCTTTCAACCGAACTAGAGAACCCCGAGAAGAGCGATTAAAAGCAGAGCTATGCACAAGACAGTGGCGGTCCACATGCGTCGAACCAGCCAGCCTGAAGTCACAGTTGGGAACAGCTGACTTCATCTGTTGTTCTGACGAACTCCTCTAGAAATTTTCAAGGTGCCAAAAAGATTTGTGTGTTCTGCACATCCAGACGGCACTCCACAGAAGCGTGTTTTGAAAATTCGACCCTAACACAGAAGAAGCAAGTGCTTTCCAATGATTAAAGATGCTTCACGTGTGCGATGAAAGGCCACAAGGGTGACTGCAAATGAAAAGTCTCTTGCTTGAGGTACAAAGGGCCCCATGCTTCATGCATGTGTGATCCATCGAAGATTACTCTGATCTCGCACCAAGGTGCCATCACAGACTGAGGGAGCAAACCAAATGCATTCGCAACGACAAACATTGTAAGGAAGTTTGAGCCACGTAAGCTATCAGTGATTGATGGTCAAGATAATAGAAACTCTCCTGGTCTTCCCATACTGAGCGTACCCCCTGAAAGCCATGATAAAAGTGCGTTTGTATAGACAGCCTCGGTGCTTTCGAAAGAGGAGACCCACGTGAGCACTGCATTGTACCATAACTGCAAGCGGCTCATCTAGAAGAAGGACGCTGCACCACGTCAAGTAGAAGTTCAGGGCAACATGAAGCAGGCAGCATCACTGGAAGCCAAGACCGCCAAGTTGTGATCAAAGTTGCAGGAGAAAATGGAACGCGAAAAGCAACAGAGTGACAATGCAACCAAGCCAAGGGAACTTCAATCGTTTTTTGAGGACCAAAGACATCATAAGAAATTGGAATATGAACTTAAAGAAGTCGTGCCGAAAGCTACTCAGGCACACCTGATGCAGCACGATTCTTAAGTACAGCA